CAGTTTAAGTTTAATAAGAGGAAGAAGGGTTAATGGAATGAATAAGAGTGTATTTTATAGCATATGATCAGACAGCATTAGGCCACACACACAGAGGAGGGGTGGAACGGAATCAGATCTCAGCTGTTCAGTAATTCCAAGACAGCAAGATGTGATGGCATAACCTGAAGAAAGCAAGGACACGTGGAATATAAAACATTTATAACAGGAGTATAGAAATAGTTTGGGTTTAATGTGCTTAAATTTGCAAAGTAATTTTATGGCATTTCATTTTCCATAGTAAATGACAAAGACAGAGCTTTTTTTTTTAGAACTGACTAGCTGACTACCCAGGGTGATTTACCTGATTACAGATGAGTTAGCTCTATATTCTGCCTCACTAAGGCTTCTTAATCATCATAAACCCTAACAACTTCTACCTTTCTAATCCTATGAAAATATAATCACTTTTCTTATAAACTCAGCAAATATTTTTCACTTAATCCACAGCCAACACTTACAAATCACACAGACATATGGCACAAATAGATTGTAGATTAATGCAGATTGAACAGTAAAGCACTCACACTGTTTGTTGCTGTAGGACACTTGGACTGGGTTACAGGACCCTCCCCATCCAGAAATGAGACCTGTAGTGGACCTGTTGTGTTAAAAGAGCAGCAGTAACTAATAGCAAGAGAAGAGTAGTGCAATGGTTTGTGTGACCCTGTACCAGAGCTCACCCCTCAGGGCCTCCTTCAGAGCTATGCTTGGTTTTGAAGCGCTGGTTCCTTCCTACCCACTAAAATTCATTTTCAGCCAAAAACTGCTAATAAAAGTAATGCCTTAAAATAGCAGTATAATGTACACAAATGCTTGTAAGCTGTACATGCCTGGTCACACTGCTACTTCTCAGGCTTCTGCTCTGCTAAATATTAGTACTGGTAATGATTTATGTGGTGCCACTGAGCTGTGTGACACTGCACAAACATGTGAGGAGACTGGTTCAACCGTAAAGTCAGAATAACTTCCTTGGTTTCACAAACGGAGGTAATGGGCCTCCAGGGAAGGTCAGTCCACCTGGAGGGTAGGTGCAGATCTGCTTGGGGACAAGACCCCCACTAGTGGAGCATTAATTTCACCTGGAACGAGACAAAAGGCATTACAAGAATTTTCCTAGAATAAAAAGACTTTTCCATATGTCTTTCTGAACTGGGCACTGAGGAATGCAGCTCACAACCCTTTCACTTGAAGGAACAGGTCCAGTTGTTGTAAAAAGAAAACCAGTGCTTAGGTGCTGTTTTCCATTGCATCCATGGATGTACAGGCTTTTAGATTAATAATGGGAAGATGAAGCTGATAAGAAGAGGAGGAAGTAAGATAAATGACAGGGATTTGGGACAAGATGAGCCTTGGTCCAAGCAGCTAGAAAGAGAATGATTTGTAGAAAAACAAAACCAATCTTTTGCTATTCTGAAAAAATAGCAAATGTGCCAGCAAAAAATAACTGACCTATTGTAAGGAGTTACTAACATGACTAAAACAAGATCTGCTCAATACGTACTGGCAAAGCCCCCCAACATACACACATGCACACTGATTTTAAGACCAGTATTATGCATTTGATACAACCACAGAACTAGTTAGACTACAGCTTTTTCCACCTAGAAAATATTTTGAGATTCATTCAGCTGCAAATGAAAGGATAGAAATTAAAATGTTAAGGAGAAACTTGACAAAATATTAAACAAGTCAATTTGTTTTGAGTGGATCCCTTCACTGTAATAAAGTATATTTCAAAATTAAAAGATGCTTCAAATAACAAAATAATAATTTTGTTCTAAAAAATATTCATCTTTTTCATTCTGGCATTGTTTTCATTCTCCTTGGAAGTCATGAAATTTACTGCAAATCAATAGGAAAACAGCCACCGAATTGGAATTCCGGTTCCTTATCGGAAAGCCATCTTCCTGAACACTCGGCACAAAAAAAACGTTAATGCTTTACGGCTGTTGCGGTCAGACAAGTGTTGGTTCAGAGGACAAGAAAGCGCTACCCCCGAAGAACCGTGTTCGTAGGGGCAGAGGGCGCCGGGGTCCGCCGGAGGCTTCCGGGCTCAGCGCCCCCTGTCCCGCCGGCTCCGTCAGCCCGCGGCCCCCTCCCGCCCCCGGCTCCCAGCACAGCCACTCCCCCACTTTCTAACCAGGGTGGTCTCTCCTCCTTCTCCCACCTCTTTCTGCCAGGATTTACTGGAAACATGTTTGCTTCAAGGGAAGGGTTAATCCTTTTTCACACAGAACTCGTCTCCCTTTTTCCCGGGAAGCTTGTTCCTGAAGTCATGTTTTATTACACATAAATAAAACACAGCTAAAATTAGGCTCAGAAAGCGACGTAGCTGGGTTTCTTGGCTGTTCCCTTCCCACTGTGTGGTCATTACCTGCTCCAGAGAGCTGCCACTGGTCCTTGGGTTCCCGTGGTAAACCAGTGGTGCTCAGAGGCAGCCCAGGTCCGTCTCTTCATAATGAGGTGCCTTTGCAGCAATTTCACCTTGCTTCTGTTATTTCTGCCAAGTCTTATTCAGACATGGTGAATTCTGGTTTGAAGGTACACTAACCATTGCCTCTCTCTCTGCCTCCAGGTAAAAATCAAGGCAGAAGAATTTACCAATAATACAAAGTTATTCTGGAAAGTTAAAAATGAACCTCTGCTTTAAAGAACTGGAGATATACTTTACTAGACTGCCTGACCAAAAAGCACAATGGCAGGTCAAATTCAGTGTAGAGAAAGTAGTGTTGAAAGTGAAACCAAATATTACCTTCATAACTGATAGACTCTGAGCTGATTTGAGATTACCCCTCAGGACTAAGATTTTTTTTATAAGAACACATAGCTTGCTAAAATATCAACTCAGTGCTTCAAGGATGATAAAAAAGCAGTTAAAATTCTAGCAATTATAACAAGGAAATAGAAAGTAAAGTCCTATCAGTATGCCATTGTAGCGAACTGTGATTCAACTACACCTTCAATGCACTGCAAATGGGTATACCCCCCATTTCCTCTCATGTTAAAAATGATACCTGAATCCTAGAGAATGCTTCAGGTAGCAAGATGGATTTTTTAAAAAGTATGCAAAGTTATACAGCAGACAAGGAATGACTAAATATCTTACAGGCTCCTCAGCCTGGAAAAGAGGGGACTATGATGAATGTGTACAAGATCATAAGTTGATGGAGACACCAGGTAGCAATCCACTGTTTTTTCTCTTCCCCTGACAGAACTTGGGGCCATCTACTAGGGTGGTGTGGGGTTTGAATGAAAGGTAAGCACACTTGCTATACAATGTTTTGGATGTTAAGAAGTCTGCATAGGTTAAAACCAAAACTTGACAAATTTACAGAAGAAATACATCAACAGGAGATAGACGCAAAGAAAATCCAGCTTTCCACTGCAACCAAGAGGTGACCAGATTAACTCAGCCCTGAGTCTGATTCACTCTTGCTGGTTTTACGTCCTTTTTGGATTTATGTTTTTATAGCATACTGCTGCATAATAACAAAGCAAAGTCTTCTCCAGACCAAGGCAAGAGTTTCAGTTAGTGGCATATTTTCCTCTGCAGCAGCAACTCGGTGCAAGCCCAGCAGTCACCTGTACTGTCAGGTGTACTGACTGCTCTGGCAACTCCACACCATCTATGCAGCTGCCCAAAGTGCTGCCAGGGCCCTTTGGAAGGTTTAAATGACCCTCAGAGTTCACTGAAAGTAATTTAGGTTCTCACAGAGTTTTGACAAGCTGTTTTGTTTCCACTATGCTTGGTTAACCTCTGTGCTGTGACAGAGCCCAGGAAGAATCAGTGCAGTTTAAATTACAGCATTCAAAATCTGATCAGGATAAATTCATATTGTTGGTGCACCCAGAGAGCTCCCAGTTCATGCAAGAGGCAGGTGACTTTGACTCTAAAATCTCAAATAAGTGGTTGTAGCAGAGAAGATGACAGCAATCACCAGCTCCCTGGCTGGCTGCTCATCTGAGTGTCACCATGCGTATGATGATAGCAAACTACCACACTGCCTACATGGCCTCAGAGAATTTCAGCTGCATGGCTATGAGCAAGAAACAAAGTTTCAACTTCCTTAATTCTGAGTGCCAGTTCACCTCATCTAGATTCAGACAAGACAAGCCTTAGCTTTGAGCCCAGTTGAGCTCCCTCAGGGTGTTAATGCAACGTACAGACTCTGGGAGCAAATGTTTTCATAGGCAGCTCAGTCTTCTAAGCCCAGATATTTCCCTTCATTATGCAAGTCTTTTCCATAATTTTTCCACTTCATGCCATCTACTTAGTTTCTGCTGGTTTAGGGGTGTTTTTTTCCTTCGCTACAAAGCTGCTGCACTTACTGCTATGGAGGAGGGAGTCCAAAGTTTGGCTCCTAGCAAATGGTACTCTGGTAGCTGGAGCTTCAGAAGAAACCACTTGCTGGGTCATTGCTATATGTGCAAAATTTGTTCTAACTACTTTTAAAAAAAAGCTTGAAAAATTAACATGATTATAATTGAATTTTCTTCCATAAGAGAACAAGCAATATTGTATTGCTAATAATAAGGCAGGCTAAAAAACTGTACACGGTTCTGGGTGATTTTCTCACATTTCATTCACACTTTAAATCTTTTGCCTCACTGAAAAGCTTCACTGAAAAGATGATGAGGTTTAAGCCATTGCTAGTTACAATGCATGTGTGGACAAACTATTTTTATAGAAACAAAGATAGATCTTTGTTGGTTTTATGTTGATTACTGGGGTTGGTTTCCACTGCAGTTTCCACTTGACCTTGATACTGTGCAGTGAGCCCCTGCTCTTCTGTCTCCTCTAAGGAGAGCTGTTTTCCTGCCTCACTGCATCACCACCAATAACAGAAAGTGAAAGCTTTTTGAGCTTCTTTAAAACCGTGGGAGCTTCAGGAAACTTGTCTTTCTCTTTTCTCTTCTGACTGATATTTCACTCTCCTCAAAGTAAGGGGACGCAAAAAATGGATGAGCTACGCAGGGTGCTGGATTTCTGCATCCGCCACCAGACCGTTCTGGGCTACAGCATGGTGTCCCTGCTGACAGCTGCCAGTGAGCACATCTTCTCAATTGTGGTATTCAAGTGCCCCTGCAATTCTGGGAACTTGCTGTACGGCTCTGTTTTCCTCATCGTGCCTGCCATCATCCTCTTTCTGCTTGGTTACATGGTGAACACCAGGACGTGGCTCCTGCTGACAGGCAGCTGCCCTCCAGAGAAGTGCTGCAATTCCTGCAAAAGCTGCACCCGCTACTGCTGGGTGCTGGTACCAGTGACAGCCAGAGCCGCAGTGGCCCCCCTCACCTGGATTGCGGTGGCCCTGCTCGGAGCCAGCTTCTACGAGTGCGCGGCCAGCGGGAGCGGAGTGATAAAGAAACTCATATGTAAAAATAAAGGACAAGAGTGCCACGAACTGCTGACCAAAGTACCCTGTGGTGAGAAGTTACCGGGTGAATTACTCAGCCTTCAGGCTCAGTCCCAGGTAAAGCTTCACCTCCCTTCTCTTTACCCTATGGGCTTCAACCCTGGCTGCTCAGTGCATGGTGGTGCCTGCTGAGGACTGCAAACAGTTCTTCTTTCACACTATATTTCTACCAAAAGTGCATGATTAGTAAGAATTCACTAGCAAAAAAAACCCCAAATCCATTAACAAACAGGTACTAAATGTATATTTTTGCCATTTTCTGGTTTTGCATATTTGCATCGCAATTGTTTGGCACTGCCATTTACAAAGCCTCTTTCAAAGCTGGGTGGGGAACCAGTCTAGAGACCAGGACTTTCCACAGCAAGTTTTCTTCTCACTGAACTTAGGCATGGTGTGAGTTCTTCTCTTTTCCCATTTTTACCCCTCTAAATACCTCAAACTTTTGTAAGTACACATTAGCTTAGGGGAAGCCGAGGCTGCAAATAAAGAGGAAGCTGATGTCTTCTTGCAACAGAGAGCTTGAAATGAAACAAATGGCAGCTTGTTTGACTACAAACCTCAACACATGAACCTAGTAACAATTTCACACTTGTATTCTAAAAGAATAATTAAAATAGGTATCTGTCTTGTTAAAGTGTGCTTGTGCTGGAAGTAAATTGTCTGATCAAAAAAATAGCACTCGTGGGTGGATTTTTTTGTCCGGAGTGAAATGAAACCTCCATATTTTGGCAGCACTCCAGTTTTGTTACTAGGTTGGTTTCATTGTCGTCTGACTTGAGTAGAAAAATCACATTTTATCACTTTTTTCCGGGAAAATATTAAGGCTGGTTAATGGAGTTAAAAGGGTTTATAATTACTTGGATTTTTATTATTTCCTGTTCAGTACAAGTGTTTATTAAAAAACAAAGCAGCATTTACATTGAATTCAGACAAGGTAAGAAAGGAACAAAATCAAGGAAGACTGTTACTGATACTGCAATGAAAACTAAAAGAAACAAACCAGTCAAACAAAATCAGAAAAAGCGTGAGAGCATTTTTATTACTGACCATTATTTTTAATATCCGATCAACTTTCAATAAAATTAAGAATGAAAAGGAACACAAACTCATTTTTCTTTAGAACTCACTGTTTTTCACTTGGAAAAAAAATCAGCCTTGATCTTCTACTACTGGGTACTAGGTATTCTAGGACATCTACTAGGACACCCACTTTAGGTGGGGTCACTGAGACTTATCTAAGGATGTTAATATAGTGTATAAAACAAGAATGAATTCCCATATTCGACAGTCAAACCCGTGTCCTGCCTACAAAGCATACAGGATGCAACTTTTCCTGTGTGCTGTGGCAACTGGCTATTTTTGGCAGGCTCATCATCAGGGAGAACATCAGGCAGGACATCAGGGAGAAGAGGTACTTTCCAAAAGCAGAAAAAATACTGTCAGCAGGAGATCCAATTCGCAGCACCAGAGATGGACAGGATGATTCTGCACCCTCTGTACTGTCAATGTGACCACAGATGCAGAAATTGCTGGTCAGCCTTTAAAGTTAAAAAAGCTGGATATAACGGAGGAAAAAACTTCACTTCAGCTTCTCTTTTTTTAGCATTCATCCTCAAGTCAGCAAGATCAGTGCAGGGGTGCAGAAGCTCTGTAAGGCTGGCTGAATTGTGTGCATGGGATCCTCTCTTTCCACAGCGAGCAGACTGTTACAGGCACTCCAGGGTGTCTTTGCTTACAGTTTTCATATTTTCATTCAATACTCCTACATACGACTGTGCAAACCCACCATTAACCCATCTGTCTCTTTCCCAAGCTGATAGGGTGGTTCCTGATAGCCCTCATCATGATCGTGGCCCTGATTTTGACATGTCTCACCCGCTGCTACTCCCCAGTCAGCTATCTTCAGCTCAAGTTCTGGAAAATTTACTCAAAAAAGGAACAGGAGCTCTTTGAGATCAAGGCTAAAGAGCATGCAACCCAGCTGGCAGAAAGAAATATGAATTGCTTTTTTGAAGGCACTGACCCAGCACGGTTTCAGACTCCCAGCAATGAAGACTGGCAGAAGATTTCAGTCGTGTACACCTTCAATTCAAATGAACAGCATTACAGCATGATACACAAGTACGTTAACACAAACAGAGGCAACAGCGTCGGATTTGGGCAAGGAGATCAGAATCCCCCTGTTTTAGGGTTTGTGGATGAAGCAAACGCAAGTGAATCAGGGTTTTAATGAAAGAAATACTTCAGCTGCTTATCACCTTGAACAGGTGAGCAAAAATATCCCAGCCATTTTCCCCCTAGGTGCTCTGCAGCTTTACGTAATGAAGGTGAAACCAAAAACTTCCATGGTGGTCAATTTTCTCTACCATTGCCTGATCTTGATCACCTTTTGAAGCAAGTCTTTTTAATTAGCTCTACTGCTCATTTCCTGTAAGTGTAAAGCTCTTTCATGGAAAAAAATGGGCACTTGAATGCTGCAGGGAAAACACACCAACATTAAACTTCATGTTTATATTGAATTTATATTTTTTCTAATTTTTCTGGAAAATACATAATTATAATGGGGTTTTTAAAATATGTAAAATTACATACAGGGTTTTTGGCTCTGGCATCAGTACCTAATCCTAAAAAATCCTAAAAAACTACAGGATTTTTGGCTCTGGCATCAGTACACCTGGATGTCCCTGCCAAATACACTATTTAACTCGATCCACACCAGAGTCTAAGTGCAAATTAGCATGTCTCAAGGAGTTAGGCTTATGCATAACATGGCAGTATAGGCGAAGCTTATATTAACAAACATTTATAGCACAGCTACATACTTAAGGACATTACAAATCCACACTCTATTTTAGCAAGTAATAGCATTCTTATCAAAGAACTGTTGGAGGCTTCAAGAATGAAGATGGATATGATTATATAGAGTTGTATGGTTTGGAATCACTGCCTGAAGAGTTGTGTAATTTAGGGAGACCGCCTTAAGATGACACAGGGATAAAGAAAGAGAAAGTACAATGATGCGGCAAGAGAACGACCCAGAAGTAAACCAACCGGAAGCGGAAGTAAACCGACCTGACCCGGATGTGGGCGGTGACACGTAATATAGTAACCAATCATGTATTAGCTTAGACAATATGGACACATATATGTTACCAATAGAAATGCTTATATAGTGTGACTAAGGGATTTTGGACTATAAAAGCGCAGCTTCTGATAAAATAAGTCTTCGATTTATAACTCTTATAGAGTTGTCTCGGAGTCTTGTGGTCATCTTGCAAAGAACATCTAATTAAAAGAAACAAAGATACCAGTTTTCAGGGAAGAATGATAAAGTGCATTTTTTCTCTGAAGAAAGCTGGAAAGCATTCTTTAGAGAGTATTTTAGAGTGATGAGTCAGATTGCTTGGCCTAGGCTGTCCTTTCACTTCTCCTAGAAGTCTTCTCTTTCTAGACAGTAAGCTCTGACTTGGAAACTATTCAGGCAGACAGAGAGGAATCCCATGAAGTTGTTTGTTACAGACATTTTCCAAGGAAGAAGGCAGGGAAGAACCTATTTTAACTAGCTTAGAAGCTTAATTCTTACTATAAACTGAAAGTGTAACACATAAAGGCAAAACAAGATTTAATTCTCTATGTAGAAAAAGATTTTAAAAAGCACTTGTTTTGTCACAAAGTTGCTGACTTGTTCAATGCTCTTTTCCTTCCAAGAAACTTGATGATAATCGAGTAACAAGTGTCCAGTTTGTTACTTTTGTGCCTCCAAGAAGCATGGTTCAGTTAAAAAACATTCAATTCTACCACTCATATTGAAAAGTTATTTCATGCATTGATGTCTAGAGAAAGATAAATCTACCCTGGAATGTCATAGCTCCACTGCCGATCAGTGCCAAACTGTTGTTTGACTCAGTGGGGCCAGGTGTTACCTTAGAGATATAATAAAATACTTCAGGATAGACTGGAAGCTAAAAGGAACAAGCCATGTCTTATTTCATTTCCTGATGAAACACTGCATAAAACACCCCCAGAATTTGTGTTAATCCTCTCAGTTGCATCTGGGATGGCTTTTGCCACTTCCCACTCACGGTCACAATTGCCAGGGTCTCATTACCAAATCTGCCTCAGCTTTCCAGGGAAGACACAGTGCCAGCACTTCTAATTAAAAAAAAAATTAGAGCAAAGGCTCCAAATCATACTGCAACACATGTCTTCAAGTTTACTGGCAATGATGGCAGTCTATTTTTCACAGATAAAGTGACTTTTGGGGGAAGGAAACTTTTATATCTGTGTATAAGCACAGAAACAGATATTTATATATCAGGTTTGTATGCAGTCATGTTTGAATTTTTATTTTTCCTTACCTTTACGTAACACTCATATCTTCTGTATGTAACTACATTTGTACAAAAGAAATTTCAGAGAGAAGCTTCAGCACACTTGTGAGTGCTCTGTCAGCCATCTTCAAAAGAAGGGCCTACACTGAAATTAAACACTGAGGAACGCTTCTGTGAATATGCTACCAAGCAAGACAAGAAAAAACTTCATGTGCATAGGGTAGCTGATGTCAGCAATTAATGGTAATGTAGTGTGGGTGACTATTTTTTCTCATTTTTATTACCTTTTTTCTACCTAACATTTACTTAATCCATCTTTAGAATACAATGGATGAGGTGATCCAGTCTAGGAAGAAAATACAAAAAATCACCAAGAGCAAAACATGCGTGCATTGAGTACGCCTGCCCAGCACAGAGCTGAGCCACAAGGGGTGATTGCTGCATGGCCCAATGCACAAGTGGGACAGGATATGAGTACAAACCTACACCCAGCCCAGTCTGGCAGTTGCATGTCACCTCCTGGCTTGAGCACAAATCTGTGCTGCCTTCATTGGCTCAGGCATTTCTGTGACCTGTTCATGTGCACAGTGAAAACTTATCCTTCAAAACTTACCATGTCCAAGAAGCAGCAAAGATTTCTTTGGGCTGTTTACTCTGAAATACTGAAAACTCAAGAAACAGCTTTGATGTCCTACACGAAGCACCACTGCAAATGCTTGGCACTGAAGGTAGGGAACAGAGCCTTGGCCACACTGGAGCCAGTGTGACAAGATTGCAAAGACTCCAGGATCACGCTAATGGTCCTTGCTTTAAAAGTGGTGTAATATCCAGCCCCGACTTTGCTAGCTAATGCCTGCAGGCAGAAACACTTTAACAGGCCCTGAATATACAGGAGCCAGTCTACTGTCACTGCAGTGTGGTGACTCTGACACTTTTTAGTTGGTGCAGACCTCAACAGAAAATGTTACCACAGATGTGTGCATGCAGGCCCAAAGCCACAGAGGTTTAGGTAAGAGAATTGTGTCTTACTGTCATGGTTTAGGGCTAGTCACTAAATAAATGATGCAAAGATGCTCTCTAGTAACCACTCTTCCCCTCCCCAGAAGGGGAAGAGAAAGAGAATAAAGGAAAGACACTTACGGGCTGGAAAAGAAAACTAAACCAGGTTTAATATAACAATAACAAGAAAATATAGTAGTGTAAAAAGGAAAATAATGAAATATATACAAATATATACAAAAATCAAGATCAAATAGTCGTGGTTTAGGCCCAGTGCGTAACTGAGTATCACGATGCCCCAGAAAGGGGGCTAGTCAAAATAAGGATTTGGAAGGCTTCTCACCACTTAAATGGTCACAGGCAAAAGACAGAGGGAGAAGAAAAACAAAGCCATTTAAATTTGTTACCAACAACATCAGAGTAGAACAATGAGAGACACAATCAGATCTTAAATTCAAAACATCTTCACCCTACCCCTTTCTTCTTCCTGGGCTCAGCTTTATTCCCGGTTTCTTCACCTCCCCCTACTGCCGCTCCTCTTCTGGTTCAGGGGGGAGAGGAGGAGGACTCCAAGCCTTCCTCTGCTTCCATGTGGCACCCTTTGCGCAGTAGACAAAGTCCACGAAAGTCCAATATGGTTCTGCCTACAGCTGCAGTTTCCCTCATGCACAAAACTGCTTCAGCCCAAGTCCACAAAGCCCCAATCTGGCTGTGCTCACTGTCAGAGTTCCCTCACACACAAACTGCTCTAGCACACACTGTCCGGAGTCACGGCTTCTTCAGGGGCAGCCACCTGCTCATGTGGCCCTGACCCCCTGGTGAACTTCCACAGGCTGCAGGTGGGTCGACATGGCGAGAGCGCACAGGTTGCAGGGGGAAACTGGCTCTGTGCCCTTCTCATCTGCCCTCTCCTTTCTTCCTTCAACCGACCTTTGGTGTTTTTTTAAAGTTGTTCTTCTCAGATCCCACTCCTTTCTCTGCTATACATTAATTTGCAGGGGAGCTTTTCAGGTAGCTCCTTACACAGCTATCTCCATAGCCATCCCCCCATTACCAAAAACAAAACCAAAAACCCATCACAGAAAAACCCAATACACAAATCCTCCCCTCTCCCCTAGTGTCAATTATGTCACCAGGGGCTCTGCGGAACAGGGTACTGTAGAAGTCCAAAGACTTTGGTCTACCAAACTCAACAGCAGGTGGGAGCAGGATGCAGGAACTGGATTGAGGAATGCATGGATCGGGATCAAAGGCAGACGAACTAGGAGGGTTCTGCTCAGACATCAGCCATGGCAGAAGAAGAAATGAAGACGAGGAGAAAGAGAGCTTGACCCTTGTGATTCCTCAGCTTTATACTGAGTATGTCATGTGTGGGATGGAATACCTTGTTGGTCAATTTTGGGTCATTTGTCCATTCCTCCCTGCAGGTGCACTTACAACACATCACCACAGCACCCATCATGTGACTGTGGCCTGGGTCTCCATAGGCAGAAGTATAAACAAGAGCTACATTTACATACCATACCTAATAGTAACTATAAACATCAAGTGCTATACTTGTACAACTACAAGTATACTACAAGTTCTACACTTGTAGAAGCGGACACTGTCTGGAAAAATACGCTATTAGTTTCAGAAAGTACGGTCACTTAGAAGAGATTTAACTGAAAAAGAAAGATCATTAAATAGAGAATTAGTTATATTTAGCTCAGACCAGGACACTTACAAAACAGTGACACTATATGTTACTTTCAAGACAATAATAAAAAGAGAGGAAGACTATCATGAGAACTGTACAGCTCTGGTAGGAGTGAACCCCACTGTCCCCAAGGTGTGATGTGCCCTTACTTAGCAAGATTAAAAGGTAAACAGGCTGAGGGAAAAAACAGGAGATGAGGAT